TTTTTTCCGGCCTAAAATGAGTAAATAATAGGAGCTTTCTAAGACCCCATACAAGTGTTGTTGGCGACGCCGGTGAGCGGCGTCGTCTATTATGGAACGCTTTTAATTTTGCCTATGGAAGGAGCTGTTATTATTAGCAGTTAATTTCATGTTGTGTTAATTATTTTTATTTTGATTCGTAAAAATCAAGTAAACAAATGTGTTGTTATATTTGTATTTAATAACTTTATGTAAAAAGCATGTGCATTGTGATATTATTTTCACGAAATTGCAGGTTAAGTTTAACAGCTTGTCCCTTAGTTTTAATGACAATACTAAAACCCGGATTTCGAATATCGTTGTGGTCTAGATTGAGGCCGTATCAGTTCATTCATTCATTTATACATTTTCAAAATTTTCCTACAAGAAGAAAGTTCACCTGCAATTGAGTATAAGGATAGGTAATGGAACTGTTGTAAACGATTATCCTATTGATTTTATCCTTATTACATTTATCTGTTGCGCAGAATGGTTGTTTTTACAAAGTGTACCAGTATCCGGATGTTGAAAAGCTATCCGATTTTCTGCAATTACTGCTGACACATGGCCATCTATTTTTTTTATGAATACTTTACCATTAATTTGCATGGCTTGATAAAACTGAACCTGCAGCATTTCATAATTTTGCTGTTTAGGGTGTTCTTTTGGGTTTCAGGTTTTCTTTATTGTAAGGGGAAGTAACTCATGTTTACTAAATTATTTGTTCTTTTCTGTCTATCTTAGGTATTACTTATAATACTATTTTTGTTGTATATAATTCACCAGTTGTAAGGTCATCAAAAGCATGTTAATGTTAATGTTAGGATTTCATATTTATTTAATATAAACTGGGAATTATTAATGTTATGTGCATACATGTTATAGACAGTAGTATATTGATATGCTGAGACTTATAATTTTTCTGCATTTAAAGAGATACAGTTATGTCATTATTATTAAAGGGATGAGACTTTCATTTAAAGTTATAAATGATAAAACATGTATTGATTGAAAATGTCCTTAAACTTGGATCAAGCAATATAATTAATAAAGTCTCAAAAAATCATATTCTGAATAGTTATTCTATTTTTTTTCTAACATGTGCATAGTTTGAAAAGGACAGCTTCTGTCTTATCTATTTGTAATGAAGGGACACCGGTCTCAACCTCCAGGTCTCCTGAGTCAACCCGACAACAGACTGTACATAGAGTAGATTGTTACTTGCCCTTGAATAAATTTGTGCACTAAATTTATAGTGGGTGATTTGTGCCACATGAAAACCATCATAGTACAAAAAGTAACTGGGCGCCAGATGAAAACATGAAAATACAATCTACCACAAAGTGGTTTGTTTGTTGCATTTTCATGTTTTTGCCCGGTGCCCTTGATGCAAAATACAAATCAGCCTTCATAAAATTTCTTATGTTGGTCACAGGTTTGAGTTCTGGTCAAGCTCAAAGTTTTTCTCATCCTGTGACTGCATATAAGCATGAGTTCAATTTCCTATGCTCTGTAACATAAGAAATTCACGAACACAAATCGATATAGTGGGGAAATATGTTGTGGTTTAGAACTGTTTCATTATTAAAGAGAAAATGTGTAGCAGGCCGGATAGCTCAGTTGGTCTTCTGAAAGTCATGGGTTCGAGTCATGGTCAGGCAGTTTCAGTCAGGGTTTAGAAGTGGTTTTTCAATTGACACATGTTTGATTCATTTAACAGATTGCATTATTTGAAATGGACAAAGGCAGTATTGCATGATACTTTTAGATCTACAAAGGGCATTTGATACAGTTGAACACACTATACTGCATATGAAGAAGTTATTTTTCTTCTTCTTCATGAAACTTCAAGCATCTGCCATATATAATGACATTCTTACATGGTTTAAGTATTATCTCTGATAGTAGCTGGTTGATGTGGCTGGTACTCATTCTACTACTGCTCTGAGTACTTATGCTGTCCCCCTGATGTTCATTTTAGGTCCTCTTTTATGTCTAATATATGTCAATTACATGTCTTCAACCCTAAGCAGTAAGCTTTTATAATAATGCACAGGCACGAGTATCAGACCTTGGAAGAAAAAATATGGCCAGATTGATAAAAAACCTGTGTTCATCTTAAAAGTGTCAACAACCAAAATAAAATGTAAATAATGACCCCCTTTAAAAATATACTTGAAGTTGATAGTATATTTTTAAAGGGGATCATTATTTACATTTTTTTTTTGGTTTTTATAAATACAGTTTTTTTTTATCAATCTGGTCATCTGGTCATATTTTTTCTTCCCAGGTCTGATACTCGTGCCTGTGATTATATGCTGATGACTCAGGAATCCTTGTGTCTCATAAAATAAATCTGAAGAAATTCTTTCTTATAGCATGAGTCTTATAAGATTGCTTAATTGACTATAAATTGTCTTTGCATCTTGGCAAGACAGAGTCTATTCTTTTTTGGTTTAAGTTTCAACTTAAACTGGCCCTAGCCTCCAGGTCACATGTAATGGTACTGCTATAAAGTACACATCTTTTGTTAAGTATTTAGGTGCAAATCTGGATCAAATTCTTTTGGCGTCCCCCTTTGATGCTTTGCATCAATGATTTTCTTGTTTCTATCTGTTTTACTCAGTTGACTGCAGTCATAATCTATTGTTCCTGGTCATGTTGTCATTTCTTTTTATAACAAAATCGGCTGATTTTTTTCTTTGGTGGATATGTTTACACCTTCACAATTTTATGACTTACTAATAGACATATGTAAATGGTTATTCAAACGGTTCTTCATTATCCTAAAGGTATTGTTGAAAGTCGTTTGCGACCATATCTATTTTAATTTTTTAATTCTTTTACATTCATCTTGATGATTACTATCATTTGAATTATCTAATAAACCAGTTTTTTTCATTAGCACAGTACGAGTACTTATTTAAAAGTGTTAATTAAACAAATATACGATTCGTTTAAATGATAACCATTTTTTAAACAGAACAAATCCCCTAAATTCAAAACAGTGGCGCTGCTTGCCGCCTGCTGCATTATTCCTTAGTGTTTCCATACGGCCTATGTGTTCTTACCTTATATTCCACTGATTTTCCATTACTTTTCTGTATTGGTGTATTGGTCAGTCCCTTTTTACTTTTCATGCCATATAATTGAACAGTTACTGGTAAATTGGCCGGGTTTTTTGTTAAATATGTGACGCTACGGATCGTTGAACTTGGTCCGTTTTAATGCATTTAATATACCATTACAAAAATATCATTAACCATGATTACGTGTTGACAAAAAAGGGGCTAAAGAAGACAGTGCTGAACATCCCTGCAGTGAAAAAAATGTACAACGCTTGCATTCTTGCTATTAAAAAAAATGTAGCTCTTTTTAAAATATTTCTGAAATATTAGCTAAACAATTCATTCAAATAATATAAATAAATGAGATGCAGACATGTTTTATTGCCAAACTGCGTAACAGATTAACATTTATAAATTACTTAACTTTTAAATGTCATACTGTGTTTATTTAAGGATAGATACAAATACTCTACTAAAATGAATATTTGTTTAAAAAAATGAGTAAAGTAATTGCAAATAAACGAACGCATGATAGATTCTCAATAAGCCACAATTTACTACTTAGACGAGAGTGGGCGAGCATAAATTTCAGTTCGTAAATTTATGTAGAGATATCTATAATTTAAACGTTATGTAATATGATGGTTTGATGAAAACATTTCATAAATACATGTGTTTCGGGATTTTCTGTTCTGTGTCGAAAATATAGTACAACTAGCCATAGATGTAGTGAGCGAGACAACGTGCACTGACTGAGGTAAGTAGGAATTGTGTAAGCGGTAAATTGTTAAACAGCGTGCATATTTTGACGTCAGATCCATATAAAGTTTTCTCGGTGACGTCATTTTCTGCACTATGTTGGTTTTCTCTTGAGGCTGCCCAAATGTCATTTCAATTCCGTAAAATTCTATACAAAATGAAACGAAAAGTGTTTTTGATTTGCTTCACATCCGAGCCTACATTTGCTAGCACGCGGCGATGGCAACTGCAGATAATCTTAACAGCTAACAGTTTAAGTAAACATAAACCAAACAACAAAAACAACCCTAAAGCAAACGAAAAGTAAATAAATAAAAATAAATGAAAAGTTAGAATAAAGCGCACAAAAACGAATCGGGAAGAATAAATATTCCCAATAAACGCGGTTATCATTGGTTGCTTTTTCAAATCCATTCAATTAAGAGTACAGGCTTTAGTATTATTCATAATCAATTTTAGCAAAGTATTGAGCTATATCTTACAATGATAGTTTAGGTATGTATGTTTTAAGTTGATACATGAAAAAATGAAAACTTTCGTAAATTTGATTTACATTATTAAAATAAGTATAATTATGACTAAAATTATTTTGACTATGTAACTAGAATATGTACTTTTATCATTGAAATCATAAATTGATAATTCTGATAATAACTAGAATAATTATTATTATCATTGTAAATATCAATTTCATAATTCTGATAATTACTATAATAAGTATTATTATCATTGTAAATATCAATTTCATAATTCTGATAATTACTATAATATGTATTATTATCACTTTAAATATAAATTTAATAATTCTTATAATTATTACAGAACAGAATGTTCTATTCTGTTCTGATCATTAATAGAATAAGCATTATCACCACTGTGACTCGATTATCACAACTATCATTGATGATGAAAATTTTGATAATAATTAATACTTTTGACAAAATAAAAAAAATGAGTTTCAATACCTTTGTTCTATTGCTCATAACCACTCCAAGAAATATAGCTGGTTAAATATTTGTAACTAAAATATATTTGAAAGTTAACTATGACAAACATCCATCAGTAAACCAGGGTTACGAGATTATTTTTATTTATCAGTTCCATGTTTATTGAGATACGAAACATTTCTGGCGTCATAATATACTCTATTTATAGACAAAAGACGAGAAGAATACAAGATGAAAGTGGCTGTGTTTGCATTTTTGGCCTTTCTATTCTGCTGTTCTGGGACTATAGACGGAGGTAATACATTATGTATGGGTTAAGCCAGTTGTAATATCGATATCTTACAATAGTTGTAACTGTAAATGGAGTTTGGATAAGTGAGTAAGGAACATGGGTGGCATATGAGACACTTTCTTGTTATGTAATCATTTTCAACATATATCTTGATGCTTAAGGTCCTGGGCAAAAAATACCATATAACTGTATTGTTATGGTAGATAGATTAATCTCGCTGTCAATAAGAAATGCCCCTTTTAGAGTCAAATAGGGTCCTAATTAAAAAGTTGCATTTTGCTGACTGAGTCTCATTATATGATAAATATGCATAAATCTGTTAAAATTAGCATTTTCATGTAAAAGGCTGTTCATTTCTAGTATTTGATTTTTTATAAATAGCTGCATGTGGTCGAAGATGGTACGACCCAAGATTCAAGATTTGTTGTAACGGCGTCATCAGTTCTAAAGGATTCAGCAGTGCATGTTGTGGAACAAGACCGTACGATTCTAGATTCAAGATTTGTTGTAACGGCGTCCTCAGTTCTAAAGGATTCAGCAGTGCATGTTGTGGAACAAGACCGTACGATTCTAGATTCAAGATTTGTTGTAACGGCGTCCTCAGTTCTAAAGGATTCAGCAGTGCATGTTGTGGAACAAGACCGTACGACCCTAGATTCAAGATTTGTTGTAACGGCGTCCTCAGTTCTAAAGGATTCAGCAGTGCATGTTGTGGAACAAGACCGTACAACCCAACCTTTACAAGGTGTTGTAATGGATATTTGTGCTAGAAGTCTTGTTAAGTCGTGTATGCATTGACAATACTTTCATTGCTTTGAAAAACAACAACAACAACAACTTTTAACCTAAAATTCAATAGTTAAAAACATTGGAACACATGATAATGGACTCCTTTTTTAATATCGATGTTATGTTATTGGTTTAGAAGCAAATGATCGATAGCAATATTTTATGTTGTTATTTGATCCTCCCAAACGAGCATAAATGATTTATTCTACTTCCCATATACATGTTTTACTTTAGACTTAAAATTATCATATTGCATGTGACGTCGCTTTTCGAGGACAGTTTAGGCTGTTTCGTATATTGACTGATAGAAGGTTCCAATTACAAATAACCGACGGCAAAAACTTGTCGTGTTTCTAATACTTTCCAATATACTTTGTTGTCAAAAATAAATTTCTTTGAATAAGCGCGGCATAGTGCAGTGAGACATCAGGAAAACCCTGCGCTGTATATTCACGAGATATACGCCGATATGATTTCAGACTAGGATAGGAAATTGCAATTAAATGTCATTCCATTTGCTTTTAAAAGGCGTAAATAATTTTCAAAAAACATTTGTCACATGTTGATTCATATCAACTTAACAACCTTCAATAATGTAATTTAATGTTTTTTTAACCTTTCCTTCATCCTACTTTCAGATTTTGCAATTCCCGAATTATTTAGAGGTTAATATTTGCTTGTTAATGGTCATTATGCGATACAATGGCTCGAAAATGTCCATAACGGGCATAAAGAATTCGGGTGCCATTATCGCATATGACCAGGAGCAATGAAATGTTTTTGTTTTTTTTATAAACTATTCTAGGTCTTCCATGAAATGCTGCATTTAGACATCAAAACCAATGATAGTTGTCATCGTTTCTAAGAAAGAAGACAGTTAGCGTATATTTGACCGAAATCCTTTCCGTACATTATAACCATTGTATTCAACGTTCTTGAAAGAGACGAAAAGTTACGAACGCTAATTATGATGATCTTAAAATACGAAATGACGAAATAACAAAATGAATACAGGTCTGTTAATGATATTTCACACTTGGTTATAATTGTACGTCAATGAGCATGCTTTAATTAATTCTGATTGTCAGACATAACTATTTCAATTACAATGTTACCGAAGTAGACGTTATATTCCGATTCTAATGTAATAATGCAGGGTTCATGGAATTCAAACATTTTTTCGTTTGGTGTAATCATATTCTAAAACAGTACTTTGTGTAACATATAAAAGTTACAGTATCAACCCTTTTCATGCGCCATTTCATTTATATTACAGCAGAGATGTTCAATATACCAACATATTATTTTGCCTTAATATTTACGTTCATTTGCCGTAAATTGGTATTGTAAAGTGCTACCTAAATGTCTTTGTGAAGCCGTGTCGAATTCAGTGCTTTCAGCGCTTTGATTTTATTTGTGACGTTTATTTCAAATCACACCATT